TAATACAGTTCCCTCTTCCAATGGCTGCCCGGCAAAGGCTCTGCATTGTTCCTGCAGCAACATGTTTTTTTGGAAGGGATGAAATGCCGAAAGGAATGTAACTGCTGACCTTGGGCTGCAGTGGGGTTAAGGAGTGTGTGCCTATGAGTCACTCCAGATAAGAGCCTTCCACGGCTTTTTTCCTCCAAAATAATTCTTTATCTCTTCTTTCTCACATCAACATATTTTCTTGACATCTCCCATTCGATAGCGCGTGGAGGAAACGTGCTCCTCTAATTTGTTCATCTGATGAAATATAGATGCATTGTTTTCTCTTGTCCTTGGTGCGGCAGGGGTCACGGCCCCACGCTTTGGGGATGCACGGTGAGGTCGGTGGCGGGGGCTTTGGGGGATGCTCGGCAGGGTCGGTACGGGGGGCTTTGGGGATGTGCCTTGGGGTCGGTCCCCAGAGCTTCGGGGATGCTCAGCGGCGTGGGTACCCGGCGTGCGCAGGGCTTTGGGGATGCGCCTCGGGGTCAGTACCCGGAATACGCAGGAGGGTGCCCGCGCAGGACAGCATCACCCCGCGCATCGCCAGCTCAGGGGACCCTGGGGAGGAAAAGCTGCTTTTAGCTTCCCTCCCTGCTCTGTCAGGAAGTTTGGCCGCTCGCTCGCTTCTCCATCTCCCAGCCGAGGCCTCTCATGCTACTTCCAGCTCCTATGATAATGCGGAAAGTTGAACTGGCCCCATTACTGCGCTGCGATGGTTGCCTTGATAACGCCCCGATAATGGCAGCGATAGCGGCAGCTCGGTCAATGGCTCTGCCGCTCCTCCCATTAACATTCCCCACCACGGACCGGCTCGGAGCTGCCTATCTGCTCTCCATTTCCACTCCTCTGCTAGATAAGAATGGAAATACTGACTTCATAGCTCACTGATTAAAGTGTCTGGATTTCTTGATAATACACAGATAAATTATGTTTTTCAAAAAGAAGGTAGGGAAGGGAGTGTGAGGGGAGGGAAAAACTGCCAGTCCATTTTTTTTTTTTTTTTTTTTTTTTCCCCTTCCCTCTTTCTGGCCATGCCCTGTGGGTTGGGGTTTTTCTGCTCCAAAATGCCCTCCCCTGCCTGTGCCTGGGGTTGGCAGCGGGAGGGCAGAGCCCTGTGTGGTGCCCTCGGGGACAGGGGGAGGCACGGTGGGCAAAGAATTTTTGGGGGCTGCGTGGACGGGGTGTATTGCACGTGCGGTCACGTCCCCGCACTGGGATGGAGCCGCCGTCCTCAGATACCAGGGACCCGCTCGTATCGCAGGGATGTTTGGCTTCGCCAGCTGCAGTGATGCCATATGGCTGCGGTGCGTGGCCGGGATCCCGGTGCCGGCTGCGGCATCTCGGGCGCGCTCCGGCTGTCCCCAGGGTCCAGCAGCCGGCTGGCGGGGATTGGGGAAGGTCGGGAAGGTCTGTCTTTCTACACCCATCTCCAGCCCGAGTCTCACTGGTTCTGCTGCGGGACGCTGCCCGGTCCAGCGGGATGCTTTGTGACCAGCCTCATCCCACTGGCCCATCCGGGCTTAAAGATGCTCGAACCGTCGCCCCCCGTGGCCTCAAACAAGGTCGGATGATGGGAGCAGGCACCGCTCCCTTAGCATCTGCTTTCCTAAATTGTACTTGAGTTTCCTCACTCGTCCCCGCTGGAGCAAATGGGGCTTCCAGACTTTTCGGTTCCTTGCACTGGAAAAGGTGTCGACCGCAAGAATCTAAGTTTGTTTCATCTAAATATAAAACTAAAGAGCAAACAGTATAAAGTTCATTTTTTAATGTGCTGCCCCATTCCAGTTGGGCTGCTCTCTTTATTTTTTTTAGAGGAACTGTGATAAAAAGCAGTGATAAAGCCAGGACTGTTTTGTGTAGGAGTCGGTATCTGCGTTATCTATCTCCCTTTTTCACTCTCCGAGCAGCTCTGTTGTTTTTTACTCTTATCTCGCTCCACCAAAATGCCAAGAACAGGAAAAAAAAAAAAAATTTCAAAAAAAAAAAAGAAAGAGGCAGCGCAGGCACGCGCGTTTGCATGGAGGCAAACTTGGTGTCCGTGGAGCTGGGCATGAATGGCCACGCTGCTTGGAGCTGGAGGAAGAGGAGGGTTGGGGGCGCCGGGTGCAGGTGCTGGCGATGGAGGGGCCGCGCCGTGGCGGGCGCTTGTGCTGGTCCGGCGGAGGCTGCGAGGCGGAGACCGTAGCGGTAGGGTTTTTGGGGACAGCGCTGTCCCAGCGGCCCCTGGTGACTTTCATTTGCCAGGCTTGGTGCCAGCAGCCCACCCTGCTGCTTACAGATGGGCCACCCAACCCTGTTGTACCCTCTTAGGGTCCTTTTCTGCTCCTGGAGCCCCCCCAGCCACTGCTCATTGCTCCAGTGTTGGCTGGAGACCTCAAAGTGGTCCAGGATGGCACTGGGAGCTGGCACTGGGCACACTGGGGGGGCTGGGAGCAGCAGGGACACCCCAGCCAGAGCATCTTTGGTGATGGGTCTGGTGGCCTTCTGGGCCACGTCCACCATTGTCCTCGTCCCCATCCCTCCATCCTTGTCCTTGCCTGGTGCTATCACGGGCTGAAAGTCTTGGGGTGGAGGCTGAAATCTGTCCCAGTTCCCTTCCCAGCAGCTTTTGGCAGGGGAATGGACACAGCAGGACCCGAAACCGCTTCCCACGGGGAGGGGGACGGCTCCGGCGCGGCATCTCTGGGGTAATTTGTCGCTAGATTAGCAAAGAGCTTGACCTCTGGCCTCGCCGTCACCTGGTATTGATGGGCTCTGTGGGACCGCGCCGCTGCGTGAGCATCCCCCCCACCCCCAGCCATTCCCGCCTGGAACGGCTTTATTCCAGGTGGGAGAAAAAGTACCGGAACTGAGGATTTTTTCTACCCAGAAAAACTCCCTTTGGCCAGCGGCAGTGAAAGCACCTGGTGCAGGAACAGCGGTGGCAAGGTGGCCTTGCACACCCATGCCACCTTGCATGTCAGTGCCACCTTGCACGCCCATGCACATTTGGAGCCAGATCTTCATGGATGGAGTTTTCTTCCATATTATTGGGGTATCCGGCTGCTTCCCAGCCATGGGCTGCCGAAATCCTGCCCGGATCAGCATGGGGTTAATCATCTCAAACTGCTCTTGGATGGGGATTGGGATGGAGGACACCCTCGGGTCCCCCCACTAAGGACCGGTCCCTCTCCACCGACCCCACCAGCTGCCTCAGTTTCCCTCCTGTGCTTTGAACATCTCCTCCTCGCCCCGGCCCTGCCGCCAGCCGGGAAGGCAGGACCGCATTAAGCATGGCATCCCCTTCTCACGGAGCAATCTGCTCCCATCCATCTGATGTGCCGGGGCCGGGGACGGCTCTATTAGACTCTCTCCTCTCTTAAAATCTACCAGGGCGTTATCGACCCCATCTGAAACGTAAAGTCACTTCATTGTCATTGTCCCTGTATTTTCTTTCTCATTATTTTCCCGTTCCCCCCTGCCGCCCCGGCTGCTGTTTGATATGATGTGGGCTCTCTCGCTATTAGTATTAGTAATCGCGGCCCCTGAAGTGAAACAATCTCCTGTAATCTATCAGCGGTTTATCGGCCCTATCTGAGCGCCGGGAATGGCTGGGCTCGGCGATGGCGCCATGCTCGGCCGCTGATAAAGTTACAGAGTTCAGGCGGTGATGAATGTTAAGTAACTGCACCCCGCGCAGATAGGATATGGACTTGGCAGGGGGAGCAGCTCCGGCTGAAACCAATCTCTCCCCTATCAGCAGGGCTGCTTTTTCTCAGGCTCTGCTTCTTCCCGGCTCTTTTCTTCCCCGACGGCTGCGGCCGGGGGCTCCCCCGGATCGGGGAGGGATGCGCGGGGTGCTGCGCCCCATGGGTGGATCGATGGGGTGTTTTGTATCGCCGGGATGGGGATGCCAAGCCCGGGCGCTTTTTTTGTGGCGGTTGGGATGCTACGGGGTGCAGACGTGAGCGTCCCCCCATCGGTAACTGC